AAACCGTGTTCGGTAATGACTTGTTTTATTGTTTATTTTGAAATGAGTTCATACATTTAATACAGATTTAATACATATGTTTAACAAATGTTTTATGAAACCGTTATTGTAACTCAGACGTAAAGTTACAGACTTTACAGATTCTGTTATGTTTATAGTGTTTTGAAATGCTGTATTTAAATAAATAAAGCACATTGTGTTTAGATTGTGAGTTATAAGCTGTAATGTTAGCACACTGTGTTTCCACTGCCAGCCACCAGAGGGCACTGTCCCACCACTGCTTCTGTGTTTGAACATTTGAGGCAAACTGAAATCATGGCTCACGTCTCATTGTAAAGTTTTAGGGAAACATGACGAAACACCAAAAATGTCCTGATATGAAGTGACAAATGGTTACTATGTTATTTTAGGGTGTTGCTAGGGTGATGATAACCAGTTGCTGTGGTATCACAGGTGGGTGCTAAAGTGTTGCTGAGTGGGTGCTATGTTATTGTGGGTGTTGCTAGGTGGTGGTTAGGGTGTTGCTATATTATTGTGAGGGTGTTGCTGGGTGGTTGTTAGGTGTTTCAGTTAGTTACTATGGTGTTCAAAGCCCAATAACTGAAAATGACGTCACCATGAAAATACAGGGTGATTAAAAAAGATTCATTCGAGTTCAAAATCATTTATTTCACTTGTAAATCGTTACAGATCAATGCAGTGAACTGTAAATGGTTTAAATGAGCATAAAGTTTATTGTGTAATTGTAGAAGGTCTCAGTATGAACCTCCTCCAGCTGTACAGACAACATCAACGCCATAGTCAAACTCATCCCATACTGGATTGAGCGTGTCGGGTGTCGCTGCACTCACGGCTCTTTCAGTGCGATTTCGGAGATCATCCAGTGTTGGGGAACCAACGACGAACGCTCTGAGCTGTTGGAGCTTCACTGCCCATGAAAATCACACTGCACGGTTATGACGGATTCACTCTTATTGAAGTGGAGAACGCAGAACGCTTTCTGCTCAGGGGTCGCATCTCCTCTCAGACTGAAGGGAGCCATCTTCCACTGACAGAAACTCTATGACCCCCTCTTTCAGTTGGATTGTGATTGGTTCCTAGGCGCCTCACAGTCGTAAAAATATGGAACTTTGAAATTGGATGAATCTTTTTTAATCACCCTGTAGTTTACAGCTGGTATTTCTAGCAAATCTCCTGACAAACTCATATATAACCTTATTCACATCTAACTTTGCCCCAGTCTCTCACATGTTCTGTCATAGTTGAGCTGTGGGATTCATAAATGAAATCTAAATCAATGCAGAAGTGATGGTATTGGTTTAAAGCCATGAGAACCCGCTGGTTCACTTCTTTTAAATCAGCATCTGAATGAAGCTTCAGACATCATTGATCATGAGCATTTTTAGAAAATGAACCCCATATAGACGCAGTGCTTCATACCTGCTGTGAAGCTTTACTATCAGCAGTTACATCACTGAGTTTTAGAAGTGCGCATGACCTCATATCAGGCTAATGAGAAATGTTTATTTATGTAAATGTTTATAGATGTCGACAGCTCTATTGAAAGCGAATTGTGTTCACTCTTTCTTAAATTACATGAGTTGGGATTTACAGAAACAATTGTATAATTATAAATAATTGATTCCCACTAGTCCGCCCAATGACAGCTGGGATAGGCTCCAGCACCCCACCGCGACCCAGAAGGATAAGCGGTTTAGATGATGGATGGATGGATGGATGCCCACTAGGCTCAGCCTATTTCTTAACATATTTATTGCATGTAATATGTGTATAATGGGAGTAGGATGTGTGGTTGGTATAGTGTAGTAGGTAACACATCTGCCTTCTATGCTGTAGACTGGGGTTCAATCCCTGCCTGGGCAGCACCCTACACTATACCAATAAGAGTCCTTGTGCAAGACTCCTAACACTACCTTCACCTATTTGTGTAGAAAATGAAAAAAAAATTGTAAGTCGCTCTGGATAAGAGCGTCTGCCGTAAATGTAAATGAGTACAAAAAATTAACTCCACTGATTTCTCAACAACCCTGCATAATTAATTGGTTAAGATGTAATCAGAGTGGTTTGGTGTGAAACGCTCCGTTCTAGAGAAACTTACCGAGTCAGAACTGTTCACAGTGGTGGTGATAGGAACCAGACGTCCACCTCTAAAAGCTCCCTCACAGAAAGTTACTACATGAAATGGTTATGAATTCACTGCCTGATGACTGAGACACTGTTTTATGATAGTTTAGAGAACTTAAACTCCATTCATGGTGGAGGGATACATGCAGGGCGCTGTGAGGCAAAATAGTCCCCAAAGAAAACTTATTATTTCAGATTTTCCACTATTTTCATCATCTACATTCCATATAAACTCAGAAGACTCGTGTAAGTTCACTGGTGGTTCTGGATAGTAAATAAAATGTCTATATTTGTGTTGTAGTCATGGCGACCCCTGGTTCCTATCACCACCACTGTAAAGACATCTGAACCATTTCACACCAAACCTCCCTGATTACTCTGTTCACACCTCACACACTGAACTGATTCATTTTTTACATTGAGATCTTTGTTGTTGTTCTGGAAACAGCAGTTTAGCCCCACCCATTCAGCCTACAGCAATTTAGCCCCACCCATTCAACCTACAGCAGTTTAGCCCCACCCATTCGGCCTACAGCAGTTTAGCCCCACCCATTCAGTCTACAGCAGTTTAGCCCCACCCATTTATTCATAAACACTCTGATTTCTGAATAAAAATATGATTAATAAGAAAATGCATTGCAAGTTTTTATTCAAACATTTTTTTTCCAAGAGACTCTTTACCTTTACACACAAAACAAAATCTATGTCACCCATACATTGTAAATATTTAACACTAATTATTGACCAACCTATAATACCTTAATTAAAATAATTATTATAACTTAGCCAAAATAGTTTTGCTCACACAAGGATGGAACATCAAACTACAACATTTTTGAACATAGTGCTGGGACAACAAACATAAAATAGGAATATTACACATTTTACTTACGCTCTATATTTCATCTACAGAGTGAAAAATACAAGAATTACATACTGATGCTATACATTATTCAAAATGGATGACAATATTAAAATAAAAGCTAATATTCTATTCTTTTCTGCTTAAATATTCCAACTGCTAATCAGTGTCTAAAACGTATAAAAGAGATTTTAAACCCTAATGATCTGTAACAGTGTAGTGCTGTAGAGTCTAGTGTTAGAGTAGAAATGTCGCCCTCTTGTGGTCAGAGTGAGACTGTGCAGGTGGACCTCTATTAGAAGTTCACTAAAATGCCCCTTGTATTATTATATGCAGCTATTAACTAATAAATTATTCTGAGAAACAAACAAAAAAATCCTTAAATATACCAGCAGGAACTTGGTGTATTCAGGCGTAGTTCTTCTCAAACAGAGGCGCGTGTGTTGTATTCCTCTTTAAAATATCTCAGTATTTTATATATTATATATTTAATAATATATATGTATTAACATATTCACGTTAATATACGCTTTCAGTAAATTTTGATCAGTTAAACTGTGCATGTGTGGGTGTCTATGCAGTTTGCTAATAAATTACACAAAAATATTAAACATTAAAATGCATGACATCACCTTCCACTTGTGTTCATCTCAAGATCACAAACTCTATCCAAATATTTTTGCTAATTTTTTTATCTGGTCAGTCGTGTCTGTGTGTAATTAGACTGTTCTCCAGCTGCTCAGTTCATGTAAAATTTAGTTAAAAATAAAATTCTTTCAGAAACCTATGCTGAAGGTCTATATTAGCTGCTCCCTACTGCTATTAAAACAGTGCTAATGTAAACAGCATTAACAGTAATTCAGTGTTAATCAAGTGGTATTAACACCACCAGCGCTAAGCTTATGCATAGTTATCTGATATTAATGCCACTAACTATAGCACTAGTCAGTGATGTCTATGCTAACACTGCTAACAGTAATAATCTTGGATATCTATCGTTAGCCACATGATGCTAACAGCAACAGTGATATCTAGTGTTAACCAGGTGCTAACAGTGCTAACGGAAGCAGTACTTCACTATATCTGGTGTTAAGCAGGTGATGCTAACTGCTAACCAAAATAATATGTAGTGGTTATCAAGAAATACTAGCAGTGCTAACAGTAGTGGTAGTCACATAATGCTAATAGTAGCAGTATTCAGTGGTATCTAGTGTTATCCAGGTGATGCTAACAGTGTTTACAGCAGTGCTAATCAGTGATAATAGTAACAAACTGTGCTTTTAGCCAGTGAGATCTTGTCTAAACCCTGAGATGCCAGGGGTTCTAACAGCAACAGTAATCAGTGCTAACAGCCAGTGATATCTAGTGTTGACCATGTGGTGCTAACAGTGCTAATAGCAGTCATAGTTAGTGATATCTAGTGTTAACCAGCAGGTGCTAACTGCACTAGCAGTAGCAGTAGTCAGTGATGTCTAGTGTTGACCCTATGGTGCTTACAGTGCTAACAGCAGTGGTAGTCACTGTTATTTAATGTTAACTAGTGAATGCTAACAGTGCTAATAGTAGCAATAGTCAGTCATATCTAATGCCAATCAGGTAATGGTAACAGAAACAACAGCCAGTGATAGTTGGTGTTACCAGATAATGCTAACATTCCGAACACCAGCAGTAATCAGTAATATTAGTGTTGATCAGGTGATGCTAGCAATGCTAACAGCAGCATTAATCAGCAATATCTAGCCTCCACCAATTGATGCTAACATTGCTAATAACAGCAATGCAGTGTCATGTCTAGTGCTAATCGGATAATGCTAACAACACAGTAATCAGTGATACCTGGTGTTGCTCAGGGGATACTAGCAGAGCTAATAGCAGCAATGGTAAGTGATATCTAATGTTAACCAGGTGATGCTAACAGTGCTAATAATAGCAATGGACTCTCACAGCTAGTGCTAATCTTGTAATGCTAACAAAGTATTAATCAGTGATTTCTGGTTTAGCCACATTGGTAATCAATGATATCTAGAGTTAACCAAGTGATGCTATCAGTGCTACAAGTAGCAGTCATCAGTGATGTCTGGTGCTATCTAGCCAACATCACCAGTTAATCAGTGTCAGGATGGTGTTCAGCAAACTTCATGTTGTCATCTTTCAACATATGCTAACAGTACGACATTAACATCGGCAGATGTAACTGAGCTCAGTTAGCTGCTGTGCGCCACAGTCTCATCTCCACCGGCATCAGTCTCGCTCTTCAGACGCAGCACGGGTGCTCCACCTGCGCCGGCCACCGTCCCGTCGATGCTGGATGCAGGTGAATTGTTGTCCCCGCCTCCCTGCTCCTCGGCCGGTTGGCACGGCGACTCGTGCACCCGCATGTGCTTGGCCAGGTGGTCAGAGCGCATGAAGACACGCGGGCACACGCTGCAGCCGAAACGCTTGGCCCCGGTGTGCGTCTGCAGGTGCCTCTGCAGCTCATCGGAGCGCGTGAAGCGCTTCCCGCAGAACAGCCAGTTGCAAACGAAGGGGCGATCACCGCTGTGCCAGCGCAGGTGCGCTTTCAAGTGGGATGTCTTCACATAGGCTTTCCCGCAGCCTGGGATGTGGCAGTTGTGCAGGTGCTTACGTTTGTCGTCATCATTGCCAGCAGACGCCGTTCCCAGCGACTCGGCGCTGAGGCAGTTTGGGCAGCGGCAGGCGGTCTGACCCGGAGCTCTGCTGCCGGACCGCCGGGGGGGTTTGGGCCGGCTTGAACCAGAGCCACCAGCACCCTCTTGTGGCTCCTCCAGGGAGAATGACGCAGAGACTCCAGGTGGGTGCAACATGTCCGGGGCGAGTGGCTCCATTTTGAAGCCATCGGGTGGGTACAGTGGGGACGGGTGGGGGGATGGCGGCAGGCAGCACATCTGGGCCTCTGGGTTGTAGGAGCTGACGGATGGCTGCAGACCCATTGAGCCCCCCTGACCCATCCCCCCACCCCCGAGACCTGGTGCCCCCTGCAGGTCCACCCATCCTCCTGCGGCTCCCCCATGCAGGTCCCACCATCCGGACATGCCCACTTCCTCTGGGCCTCCGGGGGGTGCTGCCCTCAGCCACGGCTCGTACGGGTGGGCCATGCAGAGACTGTGAGCGCTACCGTGTATGTGGTTTGGGGTGTAGCGGTGCGTTTGCTGGTGTTTTTGAAGTAGCAGCGTTTTTCAACACATCTCTGGAAGGCTGGATTGCTCAGACTGAATGAAATGAACAGCCTGTGGAGAGAAAAACAGACAAATTGCTCAGATGCAAAAATCAACACAAAAATGTACTTCAGTGCTTCGTAAAAATGTTCATTTTTTAGTAATTTACTGGTAGCTTATAATCTTTAAGGCTGGGATACTTGAAAGTGTGCATGCTGATGTTTGTAACTGAACTGTCAACATGAAAGCAAAAGTGAACACTTTTTAGGTCTCCTTTTTAGATGTTTCCTGGAAAAAGAGGACGTGTTCTGGAAAAAAACATTATGTGTCCTGGAAAAAGAGGACATATGGTCACTCTACACAGTCCACAGTAATGCATTAATTTGTTTAAGTTAACGATAAAACTCTGTGATAATGCTATGACTTCTGCTAGTTATCCTGGTATGTTCACCACACTGCAGAAAATCTTAGCAAGTGAAAACATCTCTAGTCTAGTTGATATATGTAACATGTCACATTCTGAGATTGTAGTAAGATCATTATAAAAGTATTCAATCTATTTCTATTGTTTTTTACTTGTTTTATGCAATTCTATCTAGTGAAAATATGATGCAAATGACAGAAAATTTTAGAGAAGAAGAAACAATATTTGAAACAAGTACAATGTTTGGTCACACTTTACAGTACACTTTGAATGATCGTATAATATTCTTACAAGAATCTCAAATTCAGAAAAATTAGATATTTTGACTACATTTCAGATGTTTTGACCCTGTATCATTTTCTGCAGTATATGATATGCTAGAGGCAACCTAGCAGGATGAGCTCTGCACTACACTGCACAAAAGTAGAAAAATCTAATCAAATCAGGAAAAATCTTATTTGAATTAAGTTACATTTTGTGCCAATATGAGTAGAAATTTAGGTTCATGCTGGTAAGATTCTTGTTCATAGTGTAGTTTCAGTTTCACTTGGCTGTAGTAACAGATGCAGACTGCATTTTAGAGACGTTAAATAGGACAGAAAAGGTGAAGGATCAAAGCTCAATTTCTTCTACTTTTTAAAAAAACAAAATGAAAGATAAACCTGGTAATGTAGTGCTCATGTGAAAAATAAGCCAGATACAAAAGTCAGGTCTAATGATATAATCTGATCATTTAAGAAATGTTCTCAAATTTATTCACAATAACTGTATCACTTCACTGAGCACCATTTACTGAGTAACAGCTCTCTCTTTATGGTGCAACTAAATGTTACTAAGGTTCTACTTCAGCACATAGAGAAACAGGAAATGGACACATTAGACAACTTCTATGAGATAATCTTTGACCTTCAGCCTGTTTGGTCAGATTTTGAAGAAGACCACAGGACTACATCAAATCCAGAATCTGTCCTTGATCCTGAGTGAGCTTTTTGGATCAAAAAAACAATCTGGAAGCAGCCAGAAACCCACAGAACACAATTCAGCAAAGACAGGCTGTGAAAGGCTTTACAGACTGACTGAACAAAACCACATTCAGCTTCACCTGGAAACACGAAAAAAGCTGGGCTCAACCTGATATTCACATAGTTTATGGCTCTGTAATGGTAAAGGGGCACTACTTTTTGTGGCGGAAGGATTAGCTTATATTTACGCATTGTTGATTCAATTTTTGGGGCTTCTGCACTTTTTTCTGTATTGTTCAAAATGGTTCTATTAAAGCAGTAGAACACTGAAGGCTGTGTTTTCCCTCTCGGGTTCTTTTGCTTAATTGCACTGTTGTTTTTCCTAATTCCTAGTAGTAGTGATAGATGGTGAAGTTTGCAATACTTGCTATGGGACATGTTTCCAATTCTTTCCCTCCAGTGTAGTTGTGTCCAGTTCCCCTGTTACCTAGCTCTCCCTCTATCACACTATGTTACCAAGGCTGGCACGTCTTTCTGCCAAAACACTTGAAGCTCCAACAGATCTTTTCAAACTGCCTCTAACATAACATCAAAGGAACTGTTCATTTTGTTTGTCAGCTAACAGCTTAACACCCTCCTCCATCACTGAGTGTGATGCTAATCAATGTTGGCATCTAAGTTTATGAACTACATTTAAAAAAGTAATGTGTTGGCTCACTGCTGTACAACAAGTCCAAACCAAATCAATAATTTAACAAGATACTAAGAGAATAATGATCATTAATCTCTGGCAGTACAAGGCAAAAGGCACAGACTTCTGTTAATTTGTAAGAAACTCTCGGACCACGTGCTTATATCTTATATCTAGGGAACTTACTGGGTCTAATGATTTCTGAAAACTGAAAAATGCATGCCAGTAATATATAATTAATTTTTGATTGATTTGTGTTTCTTTTTTTACCTGCAAGTTTTACAGAATTACTCGTTTTATTGTTAAGTTCAGGGTGGAAATAAAAGGATTCAATTCTTCAAAATGCCCAACAGAAAATTATCCAATCATGATTGTTTTCTCTGCGGTATCTAAGTAGATACAACTAATTGAGCTCTTCCATTGGTCAAGTCTTCAGGAGCAGGACTGAAGACCTTACACGTTAGATTAACTACTAACATAATTAGGAAGTGACAGAACCAATCATGCTGATGTTAGAAATGGAAAAGAGCTACAGCAGCTCTATACCAGAGGTCACTACTAAACTACTAAGAGGTCATTATGAAACTGATACAAGATCAAACTGAAGGTATGTTCTGCACATTTTGCCAATGCAGAGAGTGGAGGACAGTTTTGAAGGTTAAGTTAACCCTCTCAGGTCAGTGATGTCATATACAACATCAAAGGACACTGTACATAAAAGAATACGTATCTCAGGAATGCTGCATGCTAGAGACTTTTATTTTGCCCAGAATGGTGACGTTGTTCTTTTGAAAAGTAAGGAACACAGCCTCTGATTGATTGATAAGTTAGGAACACAGTCTCTGATTGGTCAACAAGTCAGAAACACAGCCTCTGATTAGTAGAAAAGTCAGGAACATAGCCTCTGATTGGTTGGAGTCAGAAGCACAGCCTCTGATTGGTCAACAAGTCAGGAACAGAGCCTCTGACTGATTGACAAGTCAGGAAAACAGTCTCTGATTGGTCAACAAGTCAGAAACACAGCCTCTGATTGATTAACAGACTCAACTCAAGGCATTAGTGAATGACTAAGAGCCATGTTCACAACAACAATGACTCTTTTCAACACAGAGAAACAGACAAATAAGAAGACATTCAGTGTTGGATTTGTCATTATGGATTTATTTTACAAAAAGTCAGTGCAGTTCAAGTCTGGATTCCAAACCTTCTGAAAGGGGTACATACACACTGGAGCACCCACTGGAACAGCACAACACTACCTTTCTAGGAAAAAATGAAAGTAAGTCTCTAGTTTGCAGCGTTCCTGAGATAGTTATTCTTTTATGTACGAAGTGCTTTGATGTCATATACAACACCATCGACCTAAAAGGGTTAACTTAACCTTCAAAACTGTCCTCCACTCTGCACAAGTAGAATGGATAGGACCTGGTTTGGTGCTTATATTATTTCTATTTTGAGACTGTTGTCTGATTTAATTCTAATGAATTTTGAAGCTCACCTACGTCATTGAACTAAGAGGGTTAATTAATTTAAAAAAGCTGTTCACAAATAACCCTAAGCACTTTTTCAAATATTGATAAAGAACAGTAAATGATAAATGTTTTGTTTTATTTTTTGCCCAACCAGCAAAAAATGCAAGCAGAAAACCTTCCACATTGGAAGTGACAGTGTGATTTTAAGCTTGGAGAGCGTTGCTTTTCCACTTGCTGTGAGCAGTAAATCATTAGAAGCATGCAGAGAACCCTCGTAACATTCTTCATTCACTTTGCTGTTGTGTTTACGCCATACAAGTGTCAGGCACTGTGCTTTACCACTCATGCCAAACCGCTGTTGGGTATATTCTTGATAATTAATACTTAATTACAGATTACCTCCGCTCTTCAAAAGTGCAAAAAGCAAGGCATGTAAACATATTATAGTTATTGTGTGTAAATATTGTAAGGAAATATTTACGTCAAAAGAGGTGTGGTGGGAATGTTTTGGATGGGGGAACATTAGAGGTCTGTAGAGTCTATAATTGTTGTGACGTGTCAACTCCAGAGAAGTCTGAAGAATGTATAAAATCACAGCTGGGCTGTGGGACTGTTGTTGAGGGACCATCGGGATAAAATGAACTAAAATTGAACCGGTTGGCTTTTAAAGCTCAATCATACTTGTTTTCTTTGCCATCCAAGGTTTTCTTTAAAGCCTTCACCAACGCCAGAGTTTAAAGGCATCTATATTTTTCTTGTCTTGCTTGTTTATTGCCCAGCTTTCACATCCATAAAGAACCACAGAGAAGACCACAGCTTGGACAATTCTTATCTTTGTTTGTGGGGATAAATTATTGCATTTGAACATCTTCTCAAACTCCTTCATCCAAGAAGTCTTGGTGTGATTCTGGATGGTCAGTTATCGTTCTCAGCTCATATCACAAACCTGACTCGGTCATGCAGGTTTCTTCTGTACAACATCTGGAGAATCTGACCCTTCCTCACTCAAGAGGCCACCCAGGTCTTAGTTTAGTCTCTTGTCATCTCAAGGCTTGACTACTGCAACTCACTTTTGGTTCGTCTTCCAGAATGCAGCACAGCTCATCTTCAATCTTCCTAAGTTCAGTCACTCCACTGCTGTGCTCCCTTCACTGGCTTCCTGTAGCTGCATGCATCAGATTTTAAACCCTGATGCCTACAAAGCCAAAAACGGAACAGCCCCTCCCTCCCTGATGGCAATGGTCAAAACTCGAACTGTACCTCAAGCCCTTTGAGCTTCAAGTACATCTCGGCTTGACCCGCCATCCTTCAAGACACGTGTAAGATGAGCATCAAGACTTTTCTCTGTGCTGGAGCCCAGGTGGTGGAACGAACTCCCACTGGCTGTCCGAACAGCAGAGTCTCTCACGGTCTTCAAACACAGACTGAAGACCGTCTTTATACAGCACTTAAATGATCACTGGGTTTAGTATTTATTGTAATATATTGTTCTGCACTTATTAAAATGTATTGTATTGTATCGT